CAAAACACTGCTGAAAGAAATTTGATTTTTTTGGTAGTATAATATTTTGATTCCTTTCTTATTCCTTTTGTTTTCTACAATGGCAACCAAAACATATAAGGAATTCCTATAACTCAGTACCAAATCAATAACCCAATTAAAAAATGGGCAAAGGATTTGAATAAACATTTCTCCAAAGATGACACAGAAATGGTCTACAAGTATATGTAAAGACACTCAACATCATTAATCATTAGGAGATACAAATTAAAACCAATGAGATATCACCACATACTTCTTAGAAAGGCCATTATCAAAACACAAGAAATAACAAGTATTGGCAAGTTGAAAAATCAGAAGAATCCTTATGCATTGTTGATAGTAATGTTAAATGTATTTTTGCCTCTCGACTTATGCAAAAAAACCATTGGGATTTTAATAGATTGCATGAAATCTATATTTGTTTTAGGTTTTCTTTAAGTGTTTGGTTGACTTTATCACTGAAGTTTTTCTTTGGTAGGACACTTTGTTGCTAATTTAATCTTACTAAGTAAAGATCTCTCAGACTTTCTTCAAGATCAGCTTTTTACCAAAAGCTGATCATGCGTTTTTAGGAATTCATCAATTTCTAGGTTATCCAGTTTGTTAGGACATTGTTTTTTAATTTCTTAAAAATTTTTTTATTTCTGTGGCATCATTTGTAATATTTCCCTTTTTTCTAATTTTAAGCTCTTTTTTCTTAGTCTAGTTAATCAATTTTATTGGTATTTTCAAAAATAACATTGATTTATTCATTTATATTTTTCTATTTTCTGTTCTCATCTTCTTATTTCCTTTCTTCTGCTAACTTTTTAATAGTTCCTTGAGGTATACCTTTGATTTATTTACTTGAGATCTTCTTTCTTTTTTAACGTATGCATTTATACTTCTATATACTTTCATCTTAGTATTGCTTTTGTTGCATACTTAAACTTGGTATCTTGCGTTTCCTTTTTTGTTGGTCTGAAGATAATTTCATTATTTTCTTTTTTAAAATTTATTTTTAATGCTTTTATTAGTACATTATAGTTAAACATAATCTTGGGATTCATTTTGATATAACAACACGTGCATGGAATGTAATTTTCTCCACTTTAGTCCCCAGTACTTTCTCTTTCACTCTCCTCCTCCCTCCCTCTGTTCTCCTTCCTCTACTCTACTGGTCTTCCTTCTATTTATTTATAGAGTTTTTTAAATTGGTGCTTCACAATATACATAAAGGTGAAATTTACTGTGGTATGTTCATACATATACATAGCATAGTTTGGTCAATATCATTCTGCAGTTCTTCCCCTTTCCTGTTGTTCCCTCTCTTTCTCTTCCCTTCCTGTACTCCACTGATCACCCTTATGTTTTCATGGGATCCTTCCCCACTTTTTTTTCTTATTGTACTCTAGTTTTTGCATGTGAGAGAAAGTATGCAACCCTTGACTTTCTGAGTCTGGTTTATTTCACATTTCACTGCAGTCAGAATGGCAATCATCAAGAATACAAATAATAATACATGCTGGTAAGAGTGTGGGGAAAAAGGTCCACTCATACTTCTTGGTGGGACTGTAAATTAGTGCAACTACTTTGGAAAGCAGCGTGGAGATTCCTCAAAAGATTAGGAATGGTATGACCACACTATCCCACTTCTTGGTATTTAAAATTCCAAAAGAACTAAAATCAGCATGCTATAATGATACAGGCACATCGGTGTTTATAGCAGTGCAATTTCACAATAGCCAAGTTATGGAACCAGCTCAGGTGCCCAACAACAGATGAATGGATAAAGAAAATGTGGTATAAGTACACAATGGAGTTTCACTCAGCCATAAAGAAGAATGAAATTATGGCATTTGCTGGTAAATAGATGGAACTGGATAATATCATGCAAAGTGCTTTTTTTTTTTTTTTTTTTTTTTTGCAAGCCATGCACATACTATTCAAAACTGTTCTGCTTAATTTCCACATATTTGTGCATTGTCCAGTTTTCTTCCTACTTTTATTCCATTGTGGTTGAAAAAGATTCATGATACTGATTTTAGTCTTCTTAAAATTTTGTTTTGTGACATAATGTGATCTATACTAGAGAACATTCTGTATGCAGTTGAGAAGAATGTATATTCTACTGCAGCTGGGAGAAATGTTCTGCATAGGTCTGTTAGGTAGGTCCTTCTGGTCTCTGGATTTGTTTAGATTTTCTGTTTCCTTATTGATCTTCTGCCTGGATGTCTTATCTCTTATCAGAGGCCGACATTGAAATCTCCCCTTATTATGTAGCTTCCTGTTTCTCCTTTCAGTTCTGTCAATATTTGCTTGAAATATTTGGATTCTTTGATGTTGGGTACATATATAATTGTTAAATGTTCCTGATGAATTAACTTGTTTATCCTCGTGTAATTTTTTTGTCTCTCATGACAGTTTTTGACTTAAAATCTATTTAATTGATGACATCAGTATTGCTGCCCCTGCCTTATTTTAATTATTATTTATAAGGAATATCTTTTTTCCCAGCCTTTTACTTTCAGCCTATTTGTGACCTTGAATCTACAGTGAGTCACTTATCTATGGATCAGGTTTTGGTCTGTTCAGCAATTTTATGTTTTCTGATTGGGATATTTAATCCAGTTATATTTAACAATAAAGTTTTAAAGTTGTAATGCAAACCTCTAGGCCAATATTAGAAAAATATAGTCTGTGTTTCTGCTTTCTTCTTTTTGTTCTTGCCTAATCCCTGACATATAGTTTACTGACAATTTTGTTTAAAAATTAGCTAGAATCAACAAACTTTAGAGCTAGAAGTAACTCAGATATCTATCAATGAACTCAACAGTATTATCTTGCAGACACATTTCTTAAAGACCCAGTAATATGTAAACATTTTATATTTCTTTAAAAATTTAAAAATGGAATCAATATTGCATATTGTGCTTTGTTATTTTTGTGTTCAAGATTTATTTATGAATCTGACCATTTGCTTGTGCATAAATTTCTGAAGTTCTTTTAGAAATAAAAAGAAATCAACTCTTATAACAAATATGAAATAATTGGATTTATCATGCCTGCTTTTACATTTTTTAAATCATGTTTAGTTCCCTAATATTCTGAATTATTTTCTATATAATGGGAAAAATATCTACGCCGGATTTCTTTAGTGGAAAATTTGCACATTGAACTAATTCTTTGTTATTTCTCAAACTTTCTTTTAAAAATAGAATTCTCTAATCTAGTTGTGGTATATATCCTGGAGTTATTAACCTAATTATCTTACCCAAGTAGCATGAGAGGGTTTTCTCCAGATCTTGAATATTTGTGAACTACAGTGTTCAAAGTTGTTATTCCAGGATCAATGAATCAAAGATGAAATGTTGTCAATGTTTTCAGATATAGGAAAAACAGTATATCATGGATAAAATTCCATTGTGTATTAATAGTTATGCAAATTCATGGTAGTTCATCTGATTTTATATATTCTCAAGATACTTTATGCTTTTCTCAACTATCCTTTTCTAATTTTAGTTGAAATTTAAATAATTTAATAAATTTCAATGAATGTTTTGATTCTTTCAGTCTTCCTTGAAAATCCAGTGTGACAGTTGCTCTAAATACTGTCAGGAGTTGGTTTTTTGTTTTGTTTGCCTATACTTTGTAAGCACTGAGAGACTTTGATTCAGAAACAGGACACAATCCAAAAGCAGATTCTAATAGCCAATTCATGAGGTACTCAAAATGGAAGACTTTTAGATTGATGATAACCCTACATTACCATCTTACAAAAATGGGTTTATTTTCATTCTTTAGGGAATTTGCGTTTTTTTTTTTTTTTTTGCCTACATTGTAAAAACTGATCCACATGGTATAGAACACATGCCATACAACAATGGGTAAAATAATTGAGCTTAAATTATACTCTGTACCATTGGCTTTTGTCTTTTGCATGTATCTATCTTTTGTGTTTGTTATTTCTACTTTGTATTTGTTTTATTTCACTTTCTAGCTCCTTGAAAAGAATGTAGTTCTTTTATTTTCAAAAATTTTAAATAAGTGTATTCTAAGCTGTAAGAGTATTTCTAAATGTTGCCTTTGCTGCATTCATATGTTTTGAATTGTGAAGTTTTTTATCATTCATATCTAAAGATGATTCTCTGCAATCCATGTATTTTTTTAAGAATGAGGTTTAGTGTTGGGCTTCCTTTTTTTTTCAATAACTTTGTATTATTTATTTTTACTCTAACATTCTATTATTAAAATATGTTCAATTTATATATCTATTCAATTTGGGTTTTTTAAACACCTTTTTAAAATATTTATTTTTTTAGTTGTAGTTGGGCACAATACCTTTATTTTATTTATTTTTATGTGGTGCTGAGGATCGAACCCAGGGCCTTGCATGTAATAGGCGAGCGCTCTACCGCTGAGCCACATAATGATTTGGGTTATTAATGATGATCCCATTTTCAAACAGTGAGCTTAATTGCCTATGTACTTCGTAAAATCATTTTAAGAATCTTCATTTAAGATGGGTTAAGAATATTAAGGAACTTTTCCTTAAGACTTAAATAATTTAAAATATATTTACATTAGAGTTTGAGGGGGTAGCTAGTGGAAGAGCACATACTTAGCATGTGCAAAACCCTGAATTCAATCCCCAGCACCACAAGTGGGGAAAAAAAACAATTCTAACAGAAGTAATTTTTTTTTCGGCTTGTGAAATCACCACAATGCAATAATAGTAGTAGCAGCAGCAGCAGCAGCAATAGTGTTAATGGCAAAAGTATTGTTAACAGAAGCAGCTGATAATATTTATTAGGAATTTCACCAATCACAGCTTTAATGAGATATTGCTTACCTTATTTATAGATGAGAAAAGTCACTGAAAGGTTAATACATTTGCCATGGTTACATTATAGTCATATTAGCTTTAAACGAATAAAAAATGGTAAATTTGTTCAGCTGAATGCACAAAAATTTAATCTTTTTATCTTTCCCTGTTTTAGCTATTAGAAAAATTAAGAGAACGTTGGCTCCATACTGGTTTGTGGCATAATCTGGAGTTGGTGAAGACAGTCATTGTAGAACCACAAGGAGGAGAAAAAACTGATTTTGATGAATTGTTGAAGGTGTACTATGACTCAATCAAGTATAAAGGAGAGAAAGGTAACTAGAAGTTATTTCATGGTCAATGACAAAATATTTTTATTATTAAGTAAGAAGTTGGTATTAGAATTTCATTTCTTATATTTTTAAATGAATTGCAGTTAGGAGAAAATTTATATTTTATAATCTTAGGAAAAGAAAAAAAGAAATTCTTTTGTTTGGAATTATCCTCCTATGATATTTTCACTTGTGTGTGCCAATTCCACTTTAAGAAACAACGTGCAATCAGGCAGTATCCCATGGTTTTCCTTACACTAACTGAAATATTTTGTGCAAGAAGGCAGTCAGGATATGTATAAATATTTCCTTACTAGCCAGATGGAACATATATTTTTATGCAAATAATGTACTTTTTGCTTATATTCTATTAAATAAGATTCATTTTGAGTTTTCAAAACATAACTGAGGGGGCTGGGGTTGTGGCTCAGTGGTAGAGCACTCACTTAGTATGTGTGAGGCCCTGGGTTCCATCCTCAACACCACATATAAATAAATATAATAAAGGTGTTGTATTCACCTTCAACTAAAAAAATAAATAAATAAAAAATAACTGAGGACTCAGTTTCCAGGCTTGAGAATTTCCCTACAGTTTTATGTGAAGGACTAATAGCAATAATTTATGAACAATGCAGCAATGAAAATACTATAATTGTCAATATCTTTTAATGTTAACAGTACATATAGTGTTTTGAGCACTTTTATTCAGTCTCATAATTAGTACAAATAAGTTATTTAAATTGTTCTGAGACTTTTACTTTGTAGTGGTAAAAGGTAATGATTGAAACTTCAATTTTTAGTTCATACTTGCTCAGTTCATACACAATTGCTACTCTGGTATAGTTTTATTGCATAATTTATCTGGGAGACACATCTGTAAATTAGTTTACTACCATATTGCATCTAATTTTGTTTTGTTTGTATGGATGTATTTATTTGCAGTGTTGGGGATTGAACCAAGGTTCAATCACTGAGCTATCACTGAGCTACATTCGCAGACTTTATATTTATTTGTTTGTGGTACTGGGGACTTAACCCAGGAGCATTCTAGCACTGAACTATACTTCTAGCCCTTTTTCATTTTGAAACAAACCCTCACTAAGTTTCTGAGGCTGACTACAAACTTGAGGTCCTCCCATCTCAGCCTCCTGAGTAGGTGGTATTACAGACATGCACCACCACCCAGCTTATTTTCCTTATTTATTTAAGACAGTGAACTTTAACAGTATATCTCCTAAAATATGAAGAATAATTAGTCTTTACAAAATGTCAAGAATAAGCTATTTCTGAGAATTTTGAATATGCTATTTAAAAATGTTTATTTTCTGTTGATTAAGATGGAGCCCTGCTAATAGCAGTTTGTCGTGGTAAAGTGAGTGAGGGTCTGGATTTCTCAGATGACAATGCCCGTGCTGTCATAACAATAGGAATTCCTTTTCCAAATGTCAAAGATCTACAGGTAGGCCATCAAAGCTTTAAGAAGTATACATTTTTCTTGTATCTTCATTTTATCTTTATGAAGAATCTGAAAAAGGTTTAGTAGAAAAATGTTTATTTTATTTTTAACTCATACTATCTTTTGCTTGACAAATGTGATTTTCAAATTGTGGTCCTAGGTCAGGAGCACCAGTATTACCAGGGAACTTAGTAGAAATACAGTTTTTTAGGCTCTGTTTCAGAACTGCTGAATCAGAAATGCTTGATGTAGAGCCCCATAATTTTGGTTTTATAAGCTCTTCGCTCTAGACTCATAAATCCCCCAAGGAATTCTAGGGTCCTCTCTATAATGCACTGCCCTACTTATTCCACAATTTTAGTTGCCACCAAATTCTGATCTCTTCCACTTCACCCCAGTAGCACCACTGTACTCTGATTGTAGGTAAGTGTTGTATGCTGTGGCCAGGAAATTATACTCAAGCAGAGAGGTGAAAATAATGGCTAACAGAGGCTGGAAAGTTCCACAGTGGCCACTGAAAGGCTGTTTTCAAGACTCGGTCAAAGCTGGAAGCCTTAGAATTAGGAATATTGATGATCCAGTCTAAGGCCAAAGACTTCTGGTACAAGTCTCAGAATTCAAAGGTCAAAGTACCCTGCAGTCTGATATTTAAAGGCAGTAGTATCAGAAACCTGCCAGCTCTACAAGGAAGAACCATATAAAGTTTTCCCCCTGCAGCTTTTCCTCTTCCATCCTGGCTCTCAACTGGTTAGATAGTGCCTGTTTTGGTTTAAATATTAGGTGTCCCCCCAAAAGCTCATGTGTGAGACAATGCAAGGTTTAGAGGCAAAATGATTGAGTTATGAGAACGTTAACTCAATCAATTAATTAATCTCCTGAAAGAGATTAACTGAGTGGTAACTGAAGGTGGTGGGGTTTTGGCTAGAGGATATGGGTCCCTGGGGGAGTGCCTTTGGGATATGTATTTTGTATCTGGCAAATGGGAGTTCCAGCCACTTTCCTCTGCCCCACCCTTCTGCCATGATGTTCTGCCTCATCTCAAGCCCTGAAGAATGGAGCCAGCTGTCTATGGACTGAGATCTCTAAAGCTGTGACCATTCAAATAAACTTTTCCTCCCCAAAAATTGTTCTTGTCGGGTCTTTTTAGTCACAGCAGTGAAAAAGCTGACTAAAACAATGCTCATTCTTGTTCAGATCTGGTTCTGGGACTATTTGCCATGACTCCTCTGGTACCCTCTGGGCCTCTTTAGAACTTTTGAAAGTCCCACCTGAGAATTCATAATGTAATCCTTTCAGCCTCTACTGGCTTTGGTAGCTTCTACTACCTTTCTCCAACTACTTGTGCTACCACTGAGGGCACTGATGGCCACATGCTGGGCTATGACTTCTAATCTAAAATGGCTTATTCTGCCTTCATTGATACTGGTGAAACAGTTCTCATCTACTCTAGAAAACTGTTGCTTCAACAACATTCATTAGTGCTGGGTTCCCACACTAGTGCTACTGATAGTACTGCTATTGACACTGATACTGTTGTTTTCTGATGTCTTATCATTTTACTCTGTGACTGCATTATTGCATTATTGCTGCTTTGTTAAAGTGGGAGAATCCTTTTTCCTCTTTATACCACAAGTTATTCCAATATCTTTTTTTTTTTTGCTTTTTAAAATTTTTTAATTGATTTAAAAAAAATAAATGATGCATTACAATTCTTACTACACATATATGGCACAATTTTTCATATCTCTGGTTGTATATAAAGTATGTTCACACCAATGTGATGTCCATCACATTCCACCATCCTTGCTAACCCCATGCCCTCTACCTTCCCCTCCCATCCCTCTGCCCTATCTAGAATTCGTCTGTTCCTCCCATGTTCCCCTTCCCTACCCCACTATGAATCAGCCTCCTTATATCAGAGAAAACATTCAGCATTTGTTTTTTTGGGATTGGCTAACTTCACTTAACATTATCTTCTCCAACACCATTCATTTAACTGCAAATGCCGTGATTTTATTCTTTTATTGCTGTTAATATTCCATTGTGTATACATGCCACATTTTTCTTTAATCCATTCCTCTACTGAAGAGCATCTAGGTTGGTTCCACAGTTTAGCTATTGTGAATTGTGCTCCAATAACTTAAATATACATTTTTTCCTCTGGAATTAGTTTGTGCATTTTTGCTAATCCTTCTACTTCTCAAACCTATGTGAGTTCTTGAGAGCTGGAAAAGAGGATAAGCTTTATGACTGATAGTAGACTGTCAAATATTACTGACTAATATTACACTTACAAAATGGTGAAGCTTGGAAAGATTCACATCAAGCTTACAGTACTGATTACATCTGAGGAGACGAGATGGGGATGATACTGTAAATAGTTATCAAAGGGGACTTTAACTTTTTCCATAATTTGTAATTAAAAATAAAAGCGTTAAGAAAACATGATGAAAATATTTATTGTTATTCTTTTTTTTTTTACAAAAATTCTTAAAATTAAAAGGTGTATTTATGAATATGGCATTTTACCTTCCATTGTCTCTACTTTTACCTTATGATAAGGGAAATTGCCCAATTTTCCCATGGTAGAATAAATTGCCCACCTTATGGCAGCCAAAAAAAAAAAAAAAACTAACACTGGTGACCTGCTCTGACAGTTCTGTCATGATCCTACTTGTCATTGTTCTGTTTATCCAAATCCCAGTGGCTCAATTGCATAAAATCACAAAGCAGAAGTGTCACTGGATTCTGGATAGAGAAAAAGAGGGTGGTTCTAAAGGTTTTCCCCTAGTGTTTCCCAAAAGGTGCAAATATAGTGGACCCAAGAATAGTCTAAGCTGTAGCATCCAGGGACAGGAAGAGAGAAATGCAAGGGAAGTGTATTTCTTATTACCATGTGTCTAGACCAATCCTTCCTGTGTAACAGTTCTAAAATTCAGTGACTTAAAACAACAATCATTTGTTACAGATCACACATTTATGAAGTGGCTAGGCAGAACATGTTACTGATAATATTTATTTGTATGCACCTATGGGATAGAAGAGAAGTTTATAGTAGTTTACTTCTTCAAGACCAACAGGATGCTTTCTAACACCAGTCAGTTAAGACAGAATCTTAAATAACTTCTAATCATGAGAGTTACTTCCCATCCCTTTGCTATATAACACAACCTAATTTAAGGGAATGACTGTCCCATACTCTTGCCATATTCTGTTGGCCAGAAGGAAGTCAAAATTCTACCCTCACTTAAGGGAAGAGCAAATAAAGTGTCACCTTAGGATGTATCTGCCATCTTGTAGTCTGTAAAAGGAGTTGACAGACTAAATTATTTCCATAAATGCTTTTTCCAAAACTATGCTTCAAATTACTGGACTTTAAGCTAGAACTTTTACATTTTCTTTTACATTAATACTCAGTTTAACATACAAAAATAATAGAATTTATTTAGAAGTGAACATTTAAATATTCCATCTTATAGAATTGAAACAACCTATTTTAGTATTATTTTTCCCACTTCATTTTATTTCACATTTAAAAGGTTCAGATCAGTGAAAAATGATTTGAGTGGGAAAAAGAAGACAGGGACATTAATTTGATGATATTTGCTTTTTTTCTTAAATTTAAGAAAGATTATGGAAGTAAAAATTAAACTACAGTTTAAAATACTAACTTAAGACTTTAGAGTCTCAATAGCAGAGTTTGGCTTTTAGAAAAGCAGGAAAATGTATGTTAGAGTCAAAAATACGACTTCTTTGGCTGTGACCAGGATTTCCTCTTCCCACCTTGGGGACTAGAAAATAGAGGTAGGAAAATTTCATTTTGGAGCCAAGTGTGACTTGTTTAGTTCAAGTCGTAATTTATTGCACATACCTCAGGGACCTGAAAATAAAGAAACCCACTATGAAATGTTGATAATGGGCCACTCTGAAGGGCAAGCATTAAGCTAACTTTCCCAGTGAGGATTTTTTTCTCTTCTACCTTTCCCAGATGCTTCTGATCATTCTATAAGAACATACTTAATCGTATAATAGTTAAAAAGAAAACTTTCTATGCATTAAAATGAAGTATTTGAGGGGCATGAGAGTGAACCAAGGTTTATTATATGAGTAGATGTCAGTGGAAAAGTATAACTAAAAGAGAAGTTGTTTTCTTTTAATGCAATTAAGTCACAGTATAATAAGACTGCCTATTTAGTGGGTATTTAAAGCAAACCCTTTGGTCAATTATAATTACAAAAGCCTTCAACATTATGATTTAGTCACCCACATCTCAAATTGGTAACATGGACATAGTTTGTGAGACATGATAAAATAAAATATTAGATTTTAAAATGTAACTCTGTTTTGTATTCCTTAAGGTAGTCTAATGGGAAAAAAAAAGATGATCTAGTACTAGAATAGAAATATTCTCCCTTTGTGAGTTTTGTACCTTTACTCTGAGAAAAAAAATTAATAAACTAAGCACATGGTAAAAAATTTTATACTTTAAAAAGGATGAAGTAGCATGTTAAACTTTTTATAATTGGCTTAATAAAATTTGATAGTAATATTCATTGTCAGAAGTGCTTTTATAATGATGGAAATAAGGTATTCAGGTAATAATTTTGTTTTGTTTTGTTTTGTTTTAGCAGTATGGTATGTTTAGTTTCCAAAATAAGTTTTTTTTTTTTTTTCCCAAGTGCTAGGGATCTGCAGGTTGGGCTAGTGCTTACTCTGTCATTAAGCTACATCCCCATACCCCAAAGTAGATTTTATTTGGAAACTACTTAAAATTAAGGTAGTGGGGCTGGGGATGTGCCTCAAGCGGTGATGCGCTCTCCTGGCATGCGCGGGGCGCTGGGTTTGATTCTCAGCAGAGTAAAGATGTGTCCACCGAAAACTGAAAAATAAATATTAAAAAATAAAATTAAATTAAATTAAAGTAGTGATCTAAATATCTATTTTAGTATTAGCCTATAATAGCTATTTGGATTTGTTTTGTTTCTTTTTAATTTTGGAAACAG